CGCAAGAGAAAAACGCAAAGAGGAAGTTATAGAATTAAATACGAACCGAGGTTCATCAGAGTAATGGTGCAGGACACATTGCATTAGCATACTTCTTGACTTTTTTTTACTGCTGAGATTTTGAAATACCTTTCAAAAGCATGTCTCGCGGCAAACCGATATATTAGGAGTCGAAATGGCGCCCTTTCTTTAAATCTTCTCAGAGAGTCTCGGGCGCGACCAAAATTCGTCAATTTTTTGTCACCTTAGAGAAAAAAAAAAGAATATAGGAACCTATATTGGGTTTCACATTCTTAGATAAAATTGTCACCTTTTTAGTACGTGTTACATCGCTCTCTGTATATGAGATTATACCTCTGTCTGTATATTTTTGCTTTTCTATGAAAGCGAGATTTCCACTTAACAGCGTAAAAATTTGTACGTCACAATCCGCCATCGTGTTTGCCTCTGTATAAGTTTTAGGACGTACACTTAATAATTATCGTGTAGTTAATTCTAAACCTACGTTCACTTTCGTGCTACAGTCTATGACCCAGAACGGTTTCCATGTGTCAGGTTGCCTTTGACGTGCGCTTATTTATTTATTTATTTATTTATTTATTTATTTATTTATTTATTTTTATTTGTTTGTTTATTTATTTTTAAACACTGCACCTAATGCAGGGTTATCGCAGTGGAGAGATACATATATACAAAATGAAAGAATCCGAACTTATATATTATACAATCGCTTCTATGAAACCAGATTCACCTTCACTTCACGCTAGGCAGATGATTTCGGTATTCGATAAGTCACAGGAAAAATGGTTTAATTGATCATGCTGGGGCGCTAAACATGGCTTCAAATAAAATTGTGACCACATCTAGTTGGCAGAGCATGCGTGAACAAGTTGATGTAAACATTTCAAAGAGCCGATATCACCTCTGTTGCATAATAGAAGTGACTTCAAAAGATGTCGTTACAGATGAGGAATCAGAAGTTTAGTCGGTGTCAAAAGTTTAGAGACTATAGTACTAGGTCTGTGGAAACTGAATTTCTCCGCAATTTGTGTAGGTATATTCGGTCGAAGTGCACAGTATTACAAGTGCCTCCACTTCTTCATCAATGCACCGCCTTTACTTCAGCAGTACAAATAATACAAGGTTTGCGCACAGATCTAGCTTCATTTTGGCTATTATACATATACTAACTATGGTGAATGACTTCGACATTGAGGACTATAAAATTGTGGAATGATTCACATTTAACTATGAAAGCTTCGTCTCCTTTTCAAAACATGTCATTAAGCTTTTTTTTACTTGCAAATCTAAATTTACCTATGTCAGCTTATCACCACTTTTATAGCTTCTTGTTTCTGATCGTGACAATACAGAATTTGCGTTATAAGTATATTTTTGTTTGTTTGTGGTTATTGCACTTTGCCACTGTGACTCAATACGCGTACTTTGACAAAAACTTCTTTTGGGCGTTTTCTTGCTTTTGGTTCACTTGCTCGGTGTTTTTTTTTATACTTCTTGTAAACTATTATTCACTGAAGATACCACTGCAGTTTTTTACTATGGGACCCTCGTATGTATATTTTTCTGTCTTCAGGGCCATTTCGATGGATATTGAAATGTGACTATCGCTTTGACTTGTTAGTCGCGAATTTTAGAACAGGCCAGAAATATAAATTTGTTGCTGCTTGCCGAAGCAGTGGAGTACAGCCTTTTATTTTTTGTCTTGTCTTTAAACTTCTGACGATGACAGCACATGACACTATTTTAGCATCGCGTGCCTATTACAAAATGAATGGGCGTGAAATCAAGTCTAAATTTTTCCTTTCGTTTTTTTTATTAGAATTCATACAGGTTTCACTTCAGGACTAATAAAATCGCTCTCAACGAAAGGCTGAATACGCTGATACGCCTTCAATTACATTCATGATATAGAGGCTGTGGGCCACAATTTCAGATCGCCTTGACATGAGACATACTGCATTAAACACTGAACATGAGGTGAAAAAGGAGAATGAAGGCACTGTGGCATCGAAGGAAACCACTTGACATGAATGGCAAGACAGCTTCAATGAATGATCTATCACCTTAGAATCTTTTTCTATCTTCTTAAAGGAAAGCGCCAATGTAGTCCACACATAAAAAAGTCACAGCTTTGCCGCAAAGGCGAAGTAATGAACGTGATAGCAACAAATTGGAAGGTCACGCGCTGAATGACAAGCACATGGAAAGGCGCCCCGCGTTTTTCACGCCCAAAAGAAGCAAGAAAAGTACTCACAGATACGGATTAATGCGAATAAGCGCCCCAGTTGTTACTTCGCTGTGTCTGAAAAGCGCGCCCTTTTTGAAAACAGAGGCTGTGCAACGATTGCAGTGACCTTTGTGCGCCCGGTAACTACAACAGAATTGTTCCAACGAAACTCAAAGGCTAGCCGAGACGTACGATTCTCACCACTGGAAGATAAGGGCGCGCGATCGAGCGTACACCTCCTTATTGGCGTACACCTCCCGCGGGCCAAAGTACGCGTGAGAGATGAGAGCCGCCGCGCGCTCACTGCGCCATCTTGCTGAGAATGCTGAAAACACGTTAGCCCCCCCCCCCCCCCCCTCCTGAGATAGCCGCCCACAGCGGTAAGTGGTAGATGTGAATAGCTTGCCGTTTCATCGTCGAAGGAGGTATCTCAATTGTGATTACAAAATTTTAATGAAAGTACTAGCACGGCGACTTCAAGGGGTAATCAATTAATTGGTAGGGCCTCACCAAACATGCGGGATTATGGGACGCTCCATTGTGACCCATATACACAAGATGCGCTGCGTGCTCGAGTGTAGCGATGCCAATCAAGTAGGGGTAGCCATTCTACAGATTGATCTCGAGAAAGCTTTTGATTGTGTTTCCCACAACCTTCTGCTTGCCATTCTTGACCATGTCAACGTTGGTTTTGTAATCAGAGATGGAGTATCTATGGCATACCGGAACTGCACGACACGACTGGTAATCAATAAGACGCTAGGAGATACAGTTAACATAAAGCGTTCTGTCCGTCAGGGCTGTCCGCTGAGTCCCCTACTTTTCAGTTTATATATAGAATCGTTGTGCTTAGCAATAACTCAAAACAGTTGCATTCGTGGCTTTAGGTTACAAGAATCCCAAGTTAAAATTTTGGCATATGCCGACGATGTGGCTGTTTGTTGTATCGATCAAGATAGTGTTACCACTACCATCAGTGTGGTTATAAGGCTCGGCAATGCAACTGGCAGTCTAGTAAACTGAGGAAAGTGTCTGGGTTTCTGGCATGGAGAGTGGTCGTAAAAACCAGACTATTTTGCAAATGTTAAATGGGTGACCACACCTGTCAAGTACCTTGGGTTGTCACTGGAATTTTATAAAGATAATGAGAACTACTGGCAAGAACATGCGAAAAGAATCCAGACGAGAGGTAATAGATGCAACGGTAATCATCTGTCAATGTTTTCTAGGGCAACTGTCTGTAATCTTTTCTTTGCCTCAAAACATTGGTATGTGATGCAAGTATTGCATTGTTCAAGGGCAAACATACAGAAGTTCCATCGCATCTTCGCAGTGTTCGTGTGGGCTTTGAACTGGGAAAGATGCAGTCAAACTAATTTGTTTCGAAAAGTGAAACACGGAGGGCTTGGTTTAACACATCCTTTCATATGCCAAGTCGTAAATAGGTTCTTTTTTTTTTCGCTACTCAAGGGACCCTTTCTTACGTACAGTGTGCCAAATGAGACTGATGCGGGCTTTACCTGGATATGTGGTTAGCACGAATGACATGACCGGTGCTGTGCGCGGGTATCTTAAAGAAGTTATTCTAAGTGTACGGGTTTTATCTGTTAGATTTTCCAATGAATATTTGTTTTCAGTGACTCGAAAGAAGTTGTACAAAGATGTATGCGATGTTGCTTTACCTGAACCCCTGTACCGTGCCATGTACGCTGGAGGTGAAGGGAAAGATGTTCTTAAACGAGTGAAGAGAATGCAAGTGGCTCCTGCCGCGAAGTCTTTCTTTTTCAAGCTGCACACAGGTACATTATCAGTCAGGACATTTCAAGCAGACCGTGGGTTTTACTTACCTTGGGAGACAAATCGCCTTATCTGTAAAAAAACCGGAAACTATTGACCATGTTTTCTTACATTGTCGGGAGGGAGTATATTTTTTGGGATGTACTTCAAAAGACGTTACAGAAAGAATTACCTTTAAATTCATATGGTATAAGATTTCTGCCAATAGTGGACGAAGAGGGAATGCCTTTTGATTTGATTATGCTATGTGGAATTCACTGTTTATGGCGGGGCCGTATGGAGGGTTTCTATCGCGATCAGGATACACGGCCTGCACGAATGTATTTCCGTGAATATATGGCCAAGTTTGTTGAACTGCAGAAAACTCGGGAGATTTAGCTGAGTGGTTGTCGAGGGTGGAGCCCTTGGCAGCACTTAGGGAATTTTAATTTCTGCCTGACTGTTACAGCTTGTTTTTGTTCTGGTTGTGGTTTGATGTACGCGCCTATAAACAGGCAATAAAGCAAAAAAAAAAAAAAAAATCTCTCGGTGGCTCAGTGGTTATCGCTTCGAATTCAGTGGTGCAATTATATACAAGTTCCAAATCCGGACAAAGGCGGTCTGTTCCATTGAGTCGCACGCGATTGGCCTATACAAGCTGTGACGAATGCTGTGACGTTATGAGTGACGTGGGCTGGGGTGTCACGTGACTGTTTTTCTCCGGTTTTCGGAGAAAGGCGAAGGAATGGTCGAAGAGACCATCCGAAAGCAACCGGATGGATTGCAATGGCTGCAAGGTGGCGTGGATTGGATTGAAATGGAAAGTATTCGCGACTTTTCGGCACCGAGACACTTAGACAACATGGCGTTTCCCACTGACACGGTACTTCGCCTTGCCTGTGCGGTAGCTTTAACCAAGCAGAGGCGACGACGCGAGGTAAAAGATGCATTTGAAGAGTTCAGCGAAGAAGAGTTCCGGCAATGTTTTCGTCTGTCCAAACGAACAGTGCGTAGCTTGTGCGACGAACTTGACCCTATCATCGGATGCCAGCGAGCCAGAGGTCTTTCCACAGAGAGAAAGGTGTTGTGCGCGCCGCGATTTTTCGCCACTGGTAGCTTCCAGCTGAGCATTGGTCGCGAGGAACACATCGGCTTGTCTCAGCCGGCGGTGAGCAACACCATCCACGAGGTGACGGAGGCGATCATTACTGTGGCTGCTAGAAAAAGGGTGGTGGACTTCCCACTGACCACAGTTGCCAAGCATGAGGCTAAGGCGGAGTTTGCATGACGTGGTTGCATCCCAGGCGTGCTGGCGTGTGTCGACGGCACGTTGGTCGCCATTCGCAAGCCAGAGGGATACAGCCTGGCCGACACGGCGAGCTTCATGTCCAGAAAGGGCTATTATGCCCTGAACGTCATGATCGTAAGTACCGTTAGGATCCTTTCTTACTCGCCCATAGGAGTATAGTTGTTCAGTTTTGACGTCGGAGCTGGGAAAAGTACCAATTCAAAGAATAAGAGAGAACATGCGGAGAAATGGGTGTGTGCTAGCTGGTGGCTCGCATGGCCTCGGTTACCATAAGTGGCAAGTGTTTGTGTAAGTGAGCCAGTTGTCGTATTTTGTGTCTTCGTTCTGGCATGCATGCGCAATGGAGTTGAGCATTTTGAAGGTAATCAGAATATGGGCTGTAGTCGTAGCAGAATTATATACACGATAAGGAAGTATTTGAACACGAAAGTACTTATAACCACAATTGCATGGGCTAGCTGTGGTATTTACGAGTGTTCTTTCCCAATAGCATGGCGTAGGTTTTCATTTATCGATCATTCAGTGGAAGTCGTAGCCATGTGTACAGGGGAATGGTCATTGCCTCCTTCCCTCCTCAGTTGCTACACCCTGTCCCTGTGCTCCCCTCTAGGTGAAACTGCCTGTACCAATGACTGTACTAGTATGCATTGTTTCCTGCTTATGTGTAGAAAGAAGGGGTTTGTTTGGAGCATAGATGCAGTACTATTTTGTATCACTCATTGCAGGCGTGCAACGCGCGGCTGCGCATCCTTGTCGTGGACTCACGATTCCCAGGTTCGTGCCACGACTCCTGGGTTTGGGAACACAACTCTTTGCGTTCACGCCTAGCTGCACAGCTGCAGCCTGGCGAATATCTGCTTGGTAAGTATTAATGTGAACTAACCGGGGTAGAGCACTCAGCCGCCATTTTTCTATCGCAGGAGACGCAGGGTATCCCCTCGAGCCATGGCTCCTCGTTCCAGTCCCTGGCAGTCACCACGGCAACACTTCCGAAGGCCGATTCAACAAGGAGCACGCATCCATGCGCAATTTTGTGGAAAGATGTATCGGAGTGTTGAAGAGCAAGTTCCGCTGCTTGCAGCACTTTCGAACGATGCTCTACAACCCCGATCGAGCAGGGCGAATTATTTATGCTTGCGCTGCTCTCCACAATATTGCATTGGACGCGGGGGACTGGACCTTGGATGAGTATGTTGGGGACATGCCACCAGCTGAGGATGACGATGGGGAGCCAGGAGAGAGCCATGTGCTCACACCGCGCAACGTGCTGCTCAGAGGTCAGCAGCAGCGCAGCGCTGTCGTGGGCCTTTTTTGAAGTGCACAAGAACGCGGTAAGCTGTCATATCACACACATAATTTATTCATACTAATTCCAGGTAAGACAAGGCCGTGTTTGCCACAACACAAAGTTCTTACTCGTGCTTCAACATGATTCATGGTGGCAATGGGAAAATGTTGCATTTTCTTTAAATGTCACATGAAATAGGCAACGGAAACACCCTTTTCTATATCAGTGATCACAGTCAGAACAGACTAGATTGGACCAAGCGCATATGAGGGGCACCCTGTGCTGACTGTTGCCATCAAAAGATTGTGGGAACAATGCAGCAACGTCACACAACCTCTTTCACGAAAACGCATAAAAATTACAGTTACATTAAAAACATGTTGCAAGAACGCATGATACATGTGTCCGTCTCTTCTCATAGTCATTGACTGCAAGTATTCAATTGTACACGCTAGGCTTGCCGAGCGCAATGCCGTGCCGGCTTTTTGTTCATTGTCCTCAACATTGTATAAATATTTAAATAATATTTCATTTGATTTGAATTCTCGACTACAGTTATATTGCAATGCTACAAAATACGTAAAGCAAAGCAACAAATAACATGTGGGTTGTTTTGATGACATACGGCATGAATATTTGGCTCAGCAATCTCGCTGCTCCCAAAGCATACCACGTTCAAAATTGATTCCTGCAATCAGTAATTTACAATGAAAACTAGATGAAAACAGTCGCTGGCATGTTGCTGTGATGATGACCATTTTCATTAGTGAAACTGTGCGACATACCCACTTGCTAGTTTAGTGATCTCAAAAAAAAAAAAAAAGACTTGGTTGTAGTTGTACCTTAGCCTCATTGCGCTGAAATGACAATATCACAGTGTAAGCAATTTTCGGCAGGTAAACATGCTTTATAAAGAATGCAGCGAGCTGCGAAACAGTGTGAGGCTAAAAGATATCACAGTCCAACACTATGTGGTAATGCTGCATAAAAAGCACAGTGAGCTAGAAAACAGTGAGGCAACACAAATATCACAGTGCTAAAACATTCACAAAAAATGTCAACTATACGATCTTGGTCTTCGTGTGGATGACTAGACACCTTTAAGATGGTGGGGGGAGGGGGGAGACGCTGCCTCACGAGTAGGTCGAACATAAATTGAGAAACGCATATATCAAACATCAAAATAGATGAAAGACATGTGAAGAAAAAAATGCTGTACTCCTTGTACAAAGTATATGTTAACTTAAAGCTAGTAATATGTATTAAATGCAAAAAAAAACAACGTCTGAAATAGAACATTGACTAAAACACGTAAACATATAAAAACTAACTAACCAATAATGCATGATAAACATTTAAACCATTGAAAACATAATGTAAAACGTAAAATAACTATGTATCTCTTTCCCGCAGAGGGCCCTCAGCCATGGCCCGCTTCAAGGATTGGACCACCTGCAGGATTCTCTCCTGTGCTGCTGCCGCCCGCTCCTGTGCTGCGGCCGCCCGCTCCTGTGCTGCTGCCATACGCCGCGCTAGAGATGTGATGTGGATGGCTGACCTTTTGATCCCCCGCACCGCCTGCAGTGAATCATCATGGTGGAAATGTTTGCATGAGCAGCTGAAGAACTCTCGACCATCTCGTGGCTCGAAGCTGCTGCTGCGGAGAATTGCAACGTGCACAACAATTTCCCCTCAGTTGAAAATTCATTGGCCTGGTGGCACCCTTTGAAAGTGTGAAGCTTCGTGTGAAGCTTCGTTTGTATCAACAAACAATTGCTGGAACTACTGTTCATTCATCTCCTCAAATGCATCTCTTACCATCAAACAGCCCCTTTCAGGGCTAACCAACCTTTTGCCCGGCAGTTTATCATTGCAAATGTCAGATACCGTGCCCTCAATACAATGCATGTTTTTTATTTACAGCCCAAGTTGGTTTCAGTCATCATAACAGAGCATCAAAAATGTTCACACCCTTTACGTAAAATTTAAACAAACGGTCTACTCACATCAAGCAACTGCTCAGTCAGCTCGAGGCTCTGGTCGCACTGCGAAGACACCCGCAACAAGGTGTCGGTGCGCCGTGGCCTCTGTCGACGGCGAGGCCGCACAGGAGGCTGAGACACTGAAAACATGCAGCATTTTCGTCACCGCATGCTGTAGTAGGCTTTAAGTCTATGGCCATGTTGTGAATAATTGGGCAATTCGAATAACATACGAGAGGTTATTTTCTCAAAACACTTTGATGATCAATAACTTACCCGGTGCAGCGGGCACGCTTTCAGGGTAACTTGGGGGGGGGGGGGGGGGGGGCTTCTGTGGAGTAAAGAATAAATGTTCACGAACTGGGGGCACATATGTCCTATAATCAATAAAACACTAAGTTCTCAGATGCTTACGTGTCACTGTGTCACTGTCACCTGCAGCCGCTTCAGTGGCTTCCACCTCCACCTCTACTGCAGGAGCGGGAACATCCGCCTGCTGGAAAGTGTCTTTGGCATAATCTTTCAGAAAAAGGGTATTCGTTACTCTGGCTATTTTACAACTTTACGTACTAAACATCTGCGGAAATGTTCTGCAGCTATTCAGTGGTCATTGATATCACGTAATACCATTTTAGTGCATGCACTTGCCCGCAGGCATTGCGTGTCTGTTATGATAAATAAATACGCGTTTTACTGCAAGGGCTGCAAAGTGAGATTTCAGTTGACAAACCTACCTGCTTTTGAATTCTTTTTCCTGCACTATCTTACTGTTCAACAAGGTTCCCCTAAAGGCACCCCTTACAAAATGGGCAAACTCTCTCATGGCACTGCTCAGGAACCCGTGATACTGCGGCGGCAGAGTGCTTACCTGTTGATATTCGAGGCAAGCGAAGACGCCACCGAAGCGTGCCAACCCGGTTAGCTGCAACAAGCGACCACGGAAGCCTGGCAGACGACCCCCTCCAGTGCCCCTGGAAATATACACCAATGTCAAAGAACAAATCGCTCGCACATTCGACGGTCACTCACGTTTGTGCCTCCTTGACGGCGGCGGCGTCACGGCGCGCCTCGTGCACCTGCCTGCGCCACCAAGCCTGCCACTCATCCACATTTTTCTGCGCAGGGCCTTCAACGTTCAGCGCGCGACGGAGCTCTTGCCACAGCCGCCGCCGGTCGGCGACCATGACGCCATGCTGCAGCTCAATGGCTTTCGCCGCGAGCTGTGGATGTTCAGTCATGAAGGCGAGCACCAGCGCGCGCAGACCCTCGGAAACGCGGATGAGCCGCTGCTGCTGGTGGCTAGCGGTGCCGTTGCCCTCCGCCATGACTACGCTCGACCGAGCCAACGACTTTGAAAGTAGCGCCGTTTAATAGTGGAGTTTTGAAAACAGTAACTGATTGAAACAAAGTTATACCTAGCGCCACTACTAACCGTCCCGCTAAATTTAGCGTTGTTTAGAAGAATAACAGAAAAAATGCGTTTGGATTGTATCGTATTCCTTATTAAACAATTGAAAACTAGTGTCAACACATTTTAATAGTGCGCAATATTAGTCAAACACTTCTGAACATGTTACAAACACTTTGTACTTTGCTATACGGTCCCCAAGTCGACGTCAAAATGATGACGCAAGCCTCCAATTCCCTCATTGGCTGTTCACTTCCTCTCGTCCTCGCGACCTTTGCGGACCGCCCACTTTTTGACGTCACCGACAGACCGCCTCCGTCCGGATTTGGAATTTGTATATAATTGCACCACAGGACGCGAAGGCCCCATGTTCGATTCCGTGCACCGGAGTCCTTATTCTGTGATTTTTTTTATATCTTGCGTTTTCATGTATATAGATACGTATACATATGCGGTGCATGACGCCGACTTCCACGTCGTCGCAGAAGCCCACGCCGACGCCGGCGGCGAAATCCAGCAGAGAGTGTTCATGTAATTGCTATCGCAATGAAAATATAAATGGCCCCGTATCTGCACGCTTCACTGCAAATGTCGTCGAAAGACAATAGTCTTGCATCTGGAGTGAGTGAACAAAACGTTTATTTGATGTTCCGCGCGAGAAAATCGGTGAATTGTATTCTGGAAGCGCTGCGTTAGAGTGCCTCAATCCGTGCAGCGAAGGCGAACGAGCGCATCGAGGCACTGGGACACCAGCGCTATCTGGCAGTTATCTTCGAAAATGAAAGAAGGCGCGCGCGCCTGTCTCTGAGGCGATGAAATATAGAACGCAAAGCGACGGGCAGGTGCCGCCACCGTGTCGTCTTAGCAAAGCGTTGGAAACACTTTCTTTTAGTGCATGGTGTTGCATTGTCAGCGCAGCGTGATAAGCGCTACGGTCCTCATAATAACTTATGTATGTCCTCTCTAGTATAAAGACACACATACAGAATATTGACGCGTTGTTGTTGTGTCTCAGATATGCGCAATAATTGCCTTTTAATTGACAATCGCACAAGTATGAACGCTGAAACTTTAGGAATATTGGTGGGCGCTGCGGATAAGGTTTAAGTTTGGCCGTTTAAAATATCGTTTCAATAGACGAACAGACAAATGTACTGACAGACAGAAAGACAGACCAAAGTATTTGCGTAGAAAGACTATCGTCTTTCTACGCAAATAAGACCCCAAGAAAGACTATCGTCTTTAAAAATTGATTGTCCCAAGCTGTCAGTGTCGCAAAGAATGTGACGAAACTCTGGCGCAGCAGTTGAGTGATGGAATGAATATTTCATCGTGACGAGAGATGGCTTTTGGCACCAACTTCACTCTAAACTAAACCTATGTGGAACTAGGGGGGAGCATAATACGCACCTAGTATGACAGGCCTGGTTTTTCTGGCTGAAACGACGAGAAGCCTAGAAGCGGTGCCCTTGGCGATGCTTCAAAACTGGTGCAAATTTACTAAGTACGAAATTGAACGGCGAGGCGAGAATCTAAAGAGAGCAACCAACAATACGAGTGATGATGAAACATTGCTCTTTTTGAGGCGAGCTTAGAGGTATGCCTCACCAAACGGGAAAATTTATCACCTTCATGCGTCGGCGTCAACACGAGTGTTGTAAAATGTCACCACTTGATGGCGTCAGCAAACGTCATCATAGACAAAATTTTTGACATTATTATGATATCACAGTGACGTCACGTGATGACATCCTAACGTACATCTCATCTTGGTCAACGGCTCCTCTATTTTATCGATACCAGCCAGATGAGCCCAATACAGTCGTTCACCGCCTTCTCCACTAGCCCTCTCCTGCTCTTGCCCATGGCATAGCCTTCACGTGCGCTTTACGGTCATGAGAGAGAGAACCCCCCCCCCCCCCCCATGTAGTGCCTCATGACGGAAATCATACCAAGTCATTTTTGACTCAGTTTTGGGCAGATCTGTGGGTCGCTGTATTACATTCCTCGTGTTCACAATATTGGTGGTCACGCTGGCTCTGTAAAAGACACGGTGTTTTGTGATTGCGTGTCGCTGTTCGTGGCGCTATGCGGGCAAACAATAGGGAAGCGTCACTGCAACGCAACTGTATATATACGCCCCCTTTAAGGTCACCGTAATGCGGCGGCGACGTTGCTTTTAGCCTCAAAAAAGGAGCATGAAGAAACAAATCTGACAGGCGTATGGTATTGGAGTGGGAAGTACGTCTATCGCATCTCCGGGCCAAAGCGCATGGACGCACGTGTGATGCAAGCAGCGCTACCTATCCTTCATGTAGTGTTACATCACGACCACTACTTGAACTGAGGCGAACCGGTGGCTCCCGCCTAGAAACGCGCGTTTGGCATTGGCATTGACAGAAATAATGGAGGCGTTGACTTGGTAAATGGTGGGCCGATCGCGGAGGCGGTGCAAAGTCAGGTGAGGTGCTTTCGATTCTGGAGGTAATGAAAAACCACATTAGGAGCAGAAAGATATTGGTGGAAAGCGGAATACATCGACGAAGAAAAAAAAGACGGTTTTCGACTTCCAGCCCTTTTAGCTGTGATCATAAAAGACTATGTGAGTTTTTTTCTTCTATTTTTTGAAAAGAGAATGTGAGAACTGCCACAGCTGATACTTTTTTGTCTTCCATGAGAAGATAAAAAAATATGCGATGAACGGAACTGTCAGTCTATAAAGCACAAAAAGAAAAAAGCTTAATAAATATCTTAAAAGAGACATCGCTTCATTTAGACGCTTGTTAGTCCATCTCTAAACCAGAGGAATAAAGCCGTTACACCCGATTTAGAAAGACCAGGCTTGTCATCAGCTTCGTTATAAATCCGCATGGTTTTGTTCCGCAAGGTGCTATCACTTTTCACTCCGAACCGAGTGCTCTACACCCCGTATTTCTAGCCCCGGCCTACATCGACAGCTCTTCGCCGGGCTAGTAGAGCCGTGGCTGTTTGGCGGTGGAGCGTGGTTAACCGTTTCAAGCTGTCGTTTTTTGCGCAAGCGCACCACCCGTCACATGGGCAAGGAATGACGAAACGCTGAAAATGGACGCGCCCGGACCACGAGCCTCGTTTCGAAGCATGGCACGCCGACGCCGTGAACGAGAGAACAAGCGGT